TACTAGAACTCCCAGTCTCCTGGTGATTGGCCCGAAATCACCCTGCCAGTTTTTCATGCCTGAGACTGTACTAGAACTCCCAGTCTCCTGGTGATTGGCCCAAAGTCACCCAGCCGTTTTTCATGCCTGAGATTGTACTAGAACTCCCAGTCTCCTGGTGATTGGCCCAAAGTCACCCAGTCATTTTTCATGCCTGAGATTGTACTAGAACTCCCCGTCTCTTGGTGATTGACCCAAAGTCACCCAGCCGTTTTTCATGCCTGAGATTGTACTAGAACTCCCAGTCTCCTGGTGATTGGCCCAAAGTCACCCTGCGAGCTTTTATGCCTGAGACTGTACTAGAACTCCCAGTCTCCTGGTGATTGACGAAAGTCACCCAGCCGTTTTTCATGCCTGAGATTGTACTAGAACTCCCAGTCTCCTGGTGATTGGCCCAAAGTCACCCTGCGAGCTTTTATGCCTGAGACTGTACTAGAACTCCCAGTCTCCTGGTGATTGACGAAAGTCACCCAGCCGTTTTTCATGCCTGAGGCAGTGCTAGAACTCCCAGTCTCCTGGTGATTGTCCCAAAATGACCCTGCCAGCTTTCATGCCTGAGGCACTGCTAGAACTCCCAGTCTCCTGGTTTCCAGACTGATGCCTTAACCACCACACCGAACTGGCTCTCCTGTTGATTTGTAGCAACCGCTGGGGATGATGGGTATCCCAAAAGGAAGCCCTCTGGGGTCAATAGTCCTGGGCCCCACCTTGTAAATGTTCGGTATCCTATTGGCCCAAGTCAAAACTCCTATATTACCGTAAAACCACGGTTAACTATTAGAATCATGATTAAATGGGTTTATTTATTTTTATTTATTTTTAAAAAGAGCTAAAATACTGTTTCTCAACCTTGGCCACGTGAAGACTTCAACTCCCAGAATTCCCCAGCTAACCAAGTTTGAGAAGCATGGACCTGAACTGCTGCTCATCCTGGTCAGCTTTAAGGGTAAACTAACCAGGTTATTAATTAACCAACTTAGCCTATTTCTGAATTTGAGATCCCGAATTAACTTTTTACCAATATTTATCTTACGCCAATAGCCAAATTTGGGAATAAAACTCCCTTTGAGAATAAAAATTTCCACCACCAAGTCAGTGAAAAGGGATAATTTTTCCCCTTGGCCAATAGTAATAATAATAATAATAATTTTAAAAAAATCAATCAGCAGTTTTTAAACAGTCCTCACTTTACGACGGAAATCGCTGGCCGGAATTTCCTCACCGTTGAGCCAAGCGGAGGTTAAACGACTCGCCCCTGATTTTATAACCCTTCATTGCTAGTATTCTTCAGCAAACCACCACAGATCGTCGTTAAGTGAACCTGTGGTCATTAAGCGAATCCAGATGTCCCCCATTGACTTTGCTGGTCAGAAATTGGCTGGAATGGTCGTGAACGGTGATTATACGACCCCAGGGACACCGCAACCATCGTCAACGCATGCCCGTTGCCAAATACCTGGATTATGGTCATGTGATTGTGGGGGAAGGCCGTGAGGGTCATAAATATGAGGACCAGCTGTTGTAAGTGTGAGGACCAGCTGCAAGTGTGCAGACTGCCTGTTGTAAGTGTGAGGAACGGCCATAAGTGCGAGGAACAGCTGTTGCAAGTGTGAGGTCCGGATGTAAGTGGGAGGACTGGCTGTAAGTGTGAGGACCGACTGTAAGTGCAAAGACCAGTCATAAGTGTGAGGACCAGCTGTAAGTACGCAGTCCGGTTGTTGTAAGTGTGAGGAACAGCCATAAATGTGAGGAACAGCTGTTGCAAGTATGAGGTCCGGATGTAAGTGCGAGGACTGGCTGTAAGTGCGAGGACCAGTTGTAAATGCAAAGATCAGTCATAAGTGCGAGGACTGGCTATTGTAAGTGCAAGGACCAGTCATAAGTGTAAGGACCGGTCGTAAGTGTGGAGGTCGGTCATAAGTACGAGGATCAGTTGTAAGTGTGAGGACTGGCTATAAGTGTGAGGACCAGTCATAAGTGCGAGGACTGGTTATAAGTGTGAGTACCGACCCTAAGTCACTTTTTTCCAGTGCTGCAGCAACTTCGAACACACGTAGCTGAACGGTCATATGTCGAGACTCCCTGGGTCTCCGTCGGGTAAGGAGACTAGGCAAGAATCGAGAATCTCAGGAGGATTTCACGGTGTTTATTAAAGGATGTGGGGGGGTCAGCCCCGACAAGCTATTTTGTGGAAAGGGGGGGGGGGTTCAGGCGAAGATCAGGGTGGGCAGAGAAGGGGGAACATGGGGGGGGGGGGCCCGATGCCCGTAATGCCAGCTGACGTCCTGAGTCGTTATTGGGAGGCCTGATGCCGCGGAGAATGGAGGCAGCTCCCTGTTCGTGCAATCTCTTTTTTCCCCCACCCGAAAGGACCGAGGGTGGGTTTCCGAAGGGGCCGGAGGCTGGAAGACGGAGGTGTGAGGACAGAGAGACAGGCACCTGGTGGTGGGAGAGAGAGAGGGAGGGAGAGAGAGAGAGAGGAAGGGAGAGAGGGAGGGGAGGGGGAGAGAGAGAGAAAGACGGAGGGAGGTGGAGAGGGAGGGAGGCAGGGGAGACAGAGAGGGAGGGAGGGAGAGAGAGAGAGGAAGGGAGAGAGGGAGGGGAGGGGAGGGGGAGAGAGAGAGAAAGACGGAGGGAGGTGGAGAGGGAGGGAGGCAGGGGAGACAGAGAGAGAGGGAGGGAGAGAGAGAGAGAGAGGAAGGGAGAGAGGGAGGGGAGGGGAGGGGGAGAGAGAGAGAAAGACGGAGGGAGGTGGAGAGGGAGGGAGGCAGGGGAGACAGAGAGGGAGGGAGGGGGAGAGGGGAGGGAAAAAGGGAGTGAGTGAGAGAGCAACAGAGAGGGAGAGGGAGAGAAAGAGAAAGCGAGACAGAGAGAGAGGGAGGGGGAGACACAGAGGGAGGGAGAGAATGGGAGAGAGGGGGAAGGATGGGTGGAGGGGAGGGAGGGAGGGGAAGGAAGAGAGAGAAAGGGAGGGAGGAAGTGTAAGCAAGAGAGAGGGGGGGAGCGAGTGGGAGAGAGAGGGGGAGAGAAAGCAAGACAGGGGGAGGGAGGTGGAGACACACACACAGAGGGAGGGAGTGGGAAAGGGAGGAAGAGCGAGAGAGAGAGAGGGGGAGGGAGAGAGAAAGCGAGACAGAGGGGGAGACACACACAGAGAGAGGAAGGGAGTGGGGGGAAGGGATGGGAAAAAGAGAGAGAGAGAGGGAGAGAGAGGGAGGGAGAGAGAGGGAGAACGATGCACAATGATCACTTGCAAAATTTGCCCATTCACACAATCCACTAACTCTACCCCCACAAACCCACTGATTTGCACAACCCTTTGTCTCTACACCTGAGTTCTTGCACAGATGACCTCTGGAGTGCCCAAGGCGTCCCCTGTTTGGGATTCTCCCCCCGTGGCTGTTTGCCCTCCTGCCCTCTATGGGGATTGTAGGGTGGTTTCCCCCGGGGGTTTTTCTCAGCAAAACGCTGAGCTTGCGATCAGAAAGGTCGGCCGTTTGGTGGTTCGAATCCCTAGTATAGGTCTCCTGCGTGAGCAGGGTGGTTGGGCTAGATGACCTCCAAGGTCCCTTCCATCTCTGTTACTGTTAAGAAACAGGGGCAACAGACCAGGTTCAAGATTGTGGCTCTCTCCTTTCCCTTCCAAAGGGGAGAACTGCAATTCCCAGCCGTTCCAGACATCAGAGAGGCAGAGGAACAGGGGGAGCCTGTTCCCAGTTGACAAAAGGGGCGACTCGGGAGTACGGCTTGGAGGTGATTGGCCCCTCCCATAAGACATAAAAGAGGATCAAACGGACGTGAGCTTTTGCAAGAAACAACTTGGTTCGTTTTGGTCGGTTTTAAACTCCGGAGCTCCGTTTTGACTCTGTGCTCCGTTTGGCCTTGCAAAACTAAGTGGCAATTAGGCAGCGTTTCAAGGGAGAGAAAGGTGGGTGCTTATCAGCCTTTCTCCCGAAAGACTTTGGCAGACTTCGGTCGGACTCTTTACAAACTATTTTTTTTCAGCGCCCTCCACCCAAAATTTATATCTCTACCTCTCCCCTTGCCCCCCTCCCCAAAAAACAGCCTCTTGGCAACTGGAAATCCAGCCTTCTCCGAGCCGTCATGTTTGAGCAACATTGCTTTTGACACTCACATTCAGGTGCTGGACAGATCATGCCCATAGAGTGGGGTGGGGCTTGGGGGGTGGGTGGGTCTCACTGGGGCAGTGGAGAGGAGGATTTCTGCGTCCCCGGAGGGATCCCTTTGCTCCCGTAATATTCCACCACCTGTTTCGGAACTTCAGCCAAAACGGTTTTTGCCAGAGCATTGGGGCCAGCCTGGGAAGTAAAGAAAGAAGAAGTGTGGGAAGGAAGGGAGGGAGGGAGGAAGGGAGGAAGGAAAAGAGAGGAAGAATGAAAGGAAGAGAGAGAGGGAGAGAAAGGAAGGAAAAGAAGGAAGAGAGGGAAGAAGGAAGGAAAGAAAAGAGAGGTAGAATGAAAGGAAGGGAGGGAGAGAAAGAGGAAGGCAAAGAAAGGAAAGAAAAGGAAGAGGAAAGGAAAAGAAAGAAGGGAGGGAGGGAAGGAGGAAAGAAGGAGAAGAGAGGTAGAATGAAAGGAAGAGAGGGGGGGAGAGAAAGGAAGGAAAAGAAGGAAGGGAGGAAGGAAAGAAAAGAGAGGTTGAATGAAAGGAAGGGAGGGAGAGAAAGAGAGGAAGGAAAAGAAAGAAGGGAGGAAGGAAGGAAGGAAAAGAGAGGTTGAATGAAAGGAAGAGAGGGAGGGAGAGAAAGAGAGGAAGGAAAAGAAAGAAGGAAGAGGAAAGGAAGAGGAAAGGAAAAGAGAGAAAAGATGGAGGGAGGGAGGAAAGAAAGAAAAGAGAATGAAAGGAAGGGAGGGAGGGAGAGAAAGAGAGGAAGGAAAAGAAAGAAGGGAGGAAGGAAGGAAGGAAAAGAGAGGTTGAATGAAAGGAAGAGAGGGAGGGAGAGAAAGGAAGGAAGGGAGGGAGGAAGGAAAAGAAAGTTAGAATGAAAGGAAGAGAGCGAGGGAGAGAAAGGAAGGAAAAGAAGGGAGGGAGGAAGGAAGGAAGGAAAAGAGGTAGAATGAAAGGAAGAGAGGGAGGGAGAGAAAGAGAGGAAGGAAAAGAAAGAAGGAAGGAAAAGGAAGAGGAAAGGAAAAGAAAGAAAAGATGGAGGGAGGGAGGAAGGAAAGAAAAGAGAGGTTGAATGAAAGGAAGGGAGGGAGAGAAAGAGAGGAAGGAAAAGAAAGAACGGAGGAGGAAAAGAGGTAAAATGAAAGGAAGAGAGGGAGGGAGAGAAAGAGAGGAAGGAAAAGAAAGAAGGAAGGGAAAAAGAAGAGGGAAGGAAAAGAAAGAAAAGATGGAGGGAGGGAGGAAAGAAAGAAAAGAGAATGAAAGGAAGGGAGGGAGGGAGAGAAAGAGAGGAAGGAAAAGAAAGAAGGGAGGAAGGAAGGAAGGAAAAGAGAGGTTGAATGAAAGGAAGAGAGGGAGGGAGAGAAAGAGAGGAAGGAAAAGAAAGAAGGAAGAGGAAAGGAAGAGGAAAGGAAAAGAGAGAAAAGATGGAGGGAGAGAGGAAGGAAAGAAAAGAGGTAGAATGAATGGCAGGGAGGGAGGGAGAGAAAGAGAGGATGGAAAAGAAAGGAGGGAGGAAGGAAAGAAAAGAGGCAGAATGAAAGCTCCAAACCTTTAACCTCTCTTGCCGGCCGGGGTCTTCCAGCTACCTCCCCCCCACTCTTGCCCAGCTGACCCTGGCACAGTCTGGCAGTGCCCGTCCCGTCCCTCACCTTCTTAAACTCCCGGACGGGCACGAACTGCACGATGTCCCGCACGGCTCGGCCTTCCTCCGTCTCCAGCATCCCGCGGTCCCCGTTCAGTTCCCGCATGTCGGAGAAGTCGGCGTTCCCGATGCCCACGATGATGATGGAGAGGGGCAGGCGGGAAGCCCGCACGACGGCATCGCAGGCCTCGGGCATGTCGCTCACCACCCCGTCGGTCAGGATGAGCAGCACCCGGTACTTCTGCGGGAGAGGGCAGAGGAGGAGGGGGGGTGTCTCAGAGCCCACAGGGGGCCACGCATGGGACGAGACACTCCCCGCCTCTGCCCTCTTTGGGGTGGTCCTCTTAGATGGTCCCAGCCTGGTCCCCTTACCGTGGGCATCCCGCTTTTCTCCTCCTCGGCTGCAGGCCCTGCCACCTTGTTGATGATGGGCGCCACGTTGGTGGGGCCGTAGAGTTCGATTTGGGGAAGGCAGCGCTTGTAAGCTTCGATCACTCCGAGAATCTCTGCCAGGGAAGGAAAGAAACAGATCTGGTATAGGTTAACTTCCTTCCTTCCTTCCTTCCTTCCTTCCTTCCTTCCTTCCTTCCTTCCTTCCTTCCCTCCCTCCTTCCTTCCCTCCCTCTCTCAATATTTCCTCTTTTTAAAAAAAATCTCCTTTTCTTTCCTTCCTTTCCCTCCCTCTATTCTTTTTCTTCCCTTCCCTTCCCTTTCTCCCTCCCATCTCCCTCCCTCCTTAATGTTTTCGCTTTTTAAAATTCTTTTTTCTCCCTCCCTCCCCGTCTCCTTAATATTTCTTCTTTTTAAAAATCTCCTTTTCCTTCCGTCCTCCCCCTCTATTCCTTTTTTCTTCCCTTCCCTCCTTCCCACCTCCCTCCCTCCTTAATGTTATTGCTTTGAAAATTCTTTTTCTTCCCTCCCTCCCTCCCTTTCTCAGGGTTTTCAATCCCCCCAAACTTTCTTTTTTTCAAAAAAAATCAGCGTCCGGCACAAGAACGCGGAATTCCACCCCCCCCCCAAAAGATCGCAATCCTTCCTACTTTCGCATTCGGGGTTCTCCGGATCGAAGTTGATGGCGAAATCGTGAGACACCTGTGGGAGAAAAGAAACATCAAATAAAACAGGAATGAAGACTCGAACTGGGAGCACAAAAACGGGAACGATTCGGCTTCCTCGGATCACAGGACTCGTACCTCGAAATCGGGAGGGGTTCGCGCTCCGAAGCCAAAGGCCGGGAACCGTTTATCGCTGGAAGAGAAAACGCTGTTTAGTTTTTCCATCCCGACAGGGGGCTGTTCTGACCCCCCCTCTTTATTTACCTCTTGTGAATTAATGGCATTCACCCACCGAAAAGCCCAGGCAAGAATCCTTCAAGGAGTTAACTGCAGTACAGACCTTATCAGTTCCTTGCGATCATTGCAAGGCCCTGAGCTCCCAGCCGAAATTAAGTTCTGGCAAGCAGTCTTTGAAGCACGAAACACAATGAGCAAAACCTTCAGAAATACGAACTGTTGTCTCCTACGACCAACACTCCCCTTTCCTTCTATTTATTCCCCAGCCAGGGAAGGGCTATTCAGCATCCACTTTGTACTTTGCTCCCTGAGTCAACTTCTTGTCCTCCATTGTTCTTCTCTCCTAACTGCTCTGCGCACATCTGCATCTGGAGCAGGCCCCAGCTGTTCTTCCTCCCCACTCATACCAGCCTCCAAAGGCAGCTGATGCCTCTCCGGAGGCTGGCAAATGTCGGACGACCCCGGCTGTATCTCTGCGTCTGACGCTGAGCGTCCATCACAGCCTTCCCCAGACACTAGAGCTGTCCCAAGTTCCTCCCCAATCCCCTCATCGTCCGAGTCTGCTGCCGGCTCCCCCAGCAGCTGGCAGGCCACAACAGGGACAGGGGAATTCGGGGAGTTATAGTTTTGACATTCCAGGCGCAAACGTATCCTGTACCTGTCGTAATCCTGGCAGATCTCGCCCACCGACGACAACGTTTTCAGGTACTCGTTGGGTTCCCGGGGGCTGATGAAATGGAGGGAATGTTCACTTCGGGGGTCGCCATTGGAGGCTGTGAAGTCAATGGCTACCTGGGCAAGGGAGAGAGGGGGAGACAGACAGCGGTGTAGCCTAGGGGTTATAGCATCGTCGTCTTCAAACCAGGAGCCTGGCATTTTCCGCGTCTCCTTTAAGGCGCGAAACTCTCCGCGCGCGTTTCAAAAGATGCTCAAAAGGAGAAGCTGGAGGAATGTTGGCTTATTGTTACGAGAGTTAAACATGAGCCAGCTGATGCGATACTTGGTTGTATAAACAGAAGCAGGGATTCACAACCACCTTGTAGAAATTTAGCACCCTCCTACAAGAATGAAACGTTTTAGGAAATATTAAAAAGGCAGAGTATTATTATTTCCCTAAAGGAGGAATGGAGAAACATGCTTTTGGAGGCAGGAAGCAGACCCCGCCTTTCTTAATAGCCCTCGGCAGATGCCAGCCTTTAAGAGACAAGGAGCTTATTGAAAGAAGACAAGTCTCTAGATAGCGCTATTCATAAGCAAACACCCTCGCTCAAGAGCCAAACCAGGACGAAGCCATTTAGCCATAATAGGAATTGCCCAACACCTTCATTGCATCATCTCTGAGCAGTCCAAACTTTAATCAAACCTAGCTCAGACAAATACCTAGGACGGTGACGGCGAACCTTTTTCTCCTCGTGTGCCGAAATCGCGTGCGACAGCACTTGTGTGCATGCTCACACCCTTAATGCAATGTACTCCACCCCCTGCACATGTACGCACAACCTCCCGTGCTCCCCCCATCCCTGCGCATGTGCGCCCCCAACCGCTGAGCATGCACATGGATCTCCTGCATGTGTGGCAGAGACCCAGAAGTCAGCTGGCCAGTGGGAGGCCGGCGCGCATGCGCAGTCGAGCTAAACGGGGCGATGGCTGGTGTGCCCACAGAGAGGGCTATAGGTTCCCATTGTGGACCTAGGATTTGTACTTAGCCTATAGAGTAGGGGTGGGTTTCAGGCAGTTCGCGGCGGTCCCCGCGAACCGGTTGGTCGGCGAACCCGGAAGTAAGTAACTTCCGGGAACGCCAAAGGATCCACCGCCCGCCCGCGTTTCTTACCCGGTTTTGACGAGTTCTGTGCTTCCACGCATGCGCAGAACGCATACAGCACCTGCGCGATCCTCCAGGAGCAGCTGGAGCATCGCACAGGGGCTAGTACGCATGCACTGCGCGTGTGCACGAGGACGCCGCTGGCCCCGTTCCAACCGAACCGATTGGAACGGAGCGAGAAACCCACCCCTGCTATAGAGCCAGCTATGACCCCTACATAACCCCTACCTGGGCCCCTGGGAGTCTGACAACAGCCAATAGAATACATATTCTTGCGCAGGAACAGGAAGCTCAAGTGCAAAGCTTGGTTTTGTTTCATCTTTCCAACCAGCCGCCATGTTTCCAGTGTGTTGGATATTTCTTCCCACAAGGTGACGTGTTACTACCGCTTTGCAAAGCCTTAGTAAGGCACACCCTTGGAATCCTGCATCCAGTTTTGGTCACCCCTTTACAAAAAAGATGTTGTGACTTTGGGAAAAGTGCCAAGAAGAGCAACTAAAAGGATTAAAGGCCCGGAGGCTAAAACAGGTGAAGAACGGTTTCAGGATTTGGGCGTGGCCAGCCTAGAGAAAAGAAGGAGTCGGCGAGACACGATAGTCAACTTATTTTCCAAAGCACCAGAAGGCAGGACAAGAAACGACAGGTGAAAACTAATCGAGGAGAGGGACAACCTGGAATTAAGGAGAAACTTCTTCACAGGGAGGACAATTAACCCATGGAACAGCTTGCCACCAGAAGTTGTAGGTGCCCCATCACTGGTTTTTTTAAAGAAGAGACTAGACAAGTGATGGTGAACCTTTTCAGCACCGAGTGCCCAAACTGAGCGCACATGCATGCATGTGTGTGTGCCAGTGTGCTGTAAACCTGGACACCAGCTGGCTGGTGGCACATGCCTGGTTTTTGGCCATTTTGGGGGCATTTTCAGGGGAGTTTGGGGGGCATTTTCAGGCCGATTTTTGGCCTTTTTTGCCTGAAAACGACCCCAAAAATGGCCTGAAAATGCCCCTAAAACGCCCTAATTTTTGGCCCTCTGCCAGGGGGGTTCCTACTGGTGTTGCTATTGGTTTGCTTTGCGCGCACTTTACACAGTTCACTATAAATTGTTCTGCGCATGCACAAAGAACAAGAAAAACTACTAAAAAACCATGCCGGCAATGGCAGCAGTGACCAGGGAACCACTTTGGGGGCATGGCCAGCCTGCGTCAACCCATCTCTGTGCTCCGGTGCCCGCCAAACCAGCTGGCGGGCGCTCACGTGCGCAGTAGAAACCAGAAGGACAGCTGTGCCCACAGAGAGGGCTCTGCGTGGCACCTCTGGCAAACGTGCCATAGGTTGGCTGTCATGGGACGAGACAGCCACATGTCTGAGATTTTATAGGTTCTCCTCAGTGGTGGGTTCCGGATCCTGTTGCAATGGGTACACTGCGATGGGGCCGGGCGTCCACCATGACCACATGTGCTGCGCATGCATGAGCACCCATCGGCTGCAACACTCCAGCTGCAAGTGGAGCGTTGCGCACGCACCGTATGTTGCGTGCGCGTGTGCAAATGGCCCAGGAACGTGGGCGGGCGGGTGAGCCCTCCGAAGCACCGTACCGGGCGTACTGCCTAAAACCCACCACTGGTTCTCCTGCTGAAGCTGGACTAGATGACAGCTCTATTCCATTCCATTCTACGATACATACAAGTAGACAATAAATTATAATAATAATTGATAATAATAATTAATAGTACCAATAATTGATGAGTAATAATAATAAATAATAAGCAATAACAATTACTAAAAATAATTAACAAGTAATAACAATTAATAATAACAAAATAATAACAAAATAACAANGGAACCGACTAACCTTCCAGCCCTTGTCCCCACTCCTCCTGACACCTGTGTAAAGAAACAAAAAGCATTTGCAGTAGCTTCTCTTTGAATCATTTTGCAGGAATGCGGGGGGCCTCCAAAGCATGAGCCAATTTGAGAGCTATTGTAAATTTGTGCATATGCAAAATACCCCACAAACTAGTTTTACAAAGGGTTTTGTCCTAGCAAAACAGAGTGCAATGAAAATAGTGGCATTAAGGGATTTTTTTAGCCATCGTGCTTGCTAATGCATTCTGCAAACAACAAAACTCATCTGTTGTGTCTAAAGTCCCCTGCTGGTTCCTGCTTTGTTACACATGTAATCCTGTTTTATTGGAGTCCAAAAATATTAGGTCCAGGTATGTGCCATACAGTTGAATCATCCCTGCTCATTGAACCATGATTATTATTTTTTTTAAAAATCTTGTATAGAGAAGCATGGAAGAGTCCTAACCTATCGATAAACAATGTCGACTTACAGTAAAAGAAATACATTTTGTTCCTGTATTTGAAATGTAACTACATTCTGTGCCACTAACACTGTGATGTATAAAAGAGCTGTTGAATGCCTTTGAATGTTGTTTTGTACTTTGGAATCATATCGAAGAGTTTTATTTGTAATTTCAATAGATATTTTAAATGAATCTCTCTTCTGTCTGTTTGGGTTCTTCCCCCCTGCCCTTAACTTACTCTACTCTGGAGCTGTGCCTATGTGCAACCAGAGTTAACCACTACTGGTCAAGTGGTGGTGGCCAGTGGTGTCACTTCATACTCTTAAGGGATGGTGATGTCATTGGTAATGGGCAGTGTTCCCTGTTTACAAAAGCCCCCACAGAAAGTTCTCACTTTCTGCTACCGTCTCTAGCTTCTCAGCACCTTGTCTTGCCCAAAAAGATATGATTCAATTGGCATAAGGCCACCAATAGCTGTCTGAAATGGGGAGAAATAATCATTCTGTGACTTTTCCCCCTCCCTGGATTATGAAAAGGTGGAGTTTCCCCCCACCTCCCCAGATTAGACTCCCATTCTGTTGCAAAAGAAAGCTCATAAACCAGAAAACTATCAATTTATTCCGTTGTAGCTTGACCAGGGGTACGTGGTGGCTCAGTGACTAAGACACTGAGCTTGTTGATCAGAAAGGTCGGCAGTTTGGCAGTTCGAATCCCTAGTGCTGTGTAACGGAGTGAGCTCCCATGACTTGTCCCAGCTTCTGCCAGTTCGAAAGCATGTAAAAATGCAAGTAGAAAAATAGGGACCACCAT